ACAATTTATATCTAATTTAAATAAAGAAAATTTTAATTTAGAAAAAATTAATAATTTTAAAAAAAATGTAAATTCTGAAGAATTTGATGATGAAGTAAATAAATTAGATATTGAAAGATTTTGGTTATGAATTAAATCAAAATCAAGATTTAATTTTTGAAAAACAAGAAATCCAGGAAAAGAATTTTTTCCAAATTATTTTGAAATTAGAAATGCAGGTAATTATGCTATTTGTGAAGGTGTGGTAAATGAATCAATATATTTTTATTTATATAGTAAAAAAAGACTTTACTATCAAAAACCTACAGGAAAATATCTTGATGAAACATTTACAAATCAAACATTAATTCAAGAATCTTTAAAAAATGGATGAGGTTATATTTATAAATATAATCAAAATAAAAAAAATTTATTAAAAATTACAAATATTTTAAATAAAATAGATGAATATTTATTGAATATAAATGATTTTTTAATTAAAAAAAATATTAATTTAAATAATAATTTTGATTCTTTTTTTAATAAAGAAAAAGAAATTATAGATTTATTTGAAAATTTTTTAAATACATTAATCATAAATAACAATTTTATTATGGAAAAAATAAAAGAAAATCCATATTTAAATAATAAATTTTTTAATTTGTTGAAAGAACAAACAATAAATTTTGAAAAAACAAAAACCGAAATTCAATCTATAAATAATGCAAATGAAAATATTGATGAATATGAAAGTAGAGGTATTATAAATTATGGTGATTTTTCATTTTCAAAAATTATTAATAAGCCTTTTTTTGATATAAACAATATGAATAAATGAAATTTATTTGGAAGTATTTTTGGATCAATTTTAACTTCTGGATTAGTATTTATTGTTTAATTTAATAAATCATTAAATTTTAATATGAAATGATTGTATTTATATGGTGAATATATTTTAAGATATTTTACAATATATGTTCAAAAATAAAGTTTTGTAAAAAATAAATCTGTTTTAATTTTATTTGTTGGATTAAAACGTTTTATGAATTTAAAATTATATTTTTTTCTTTCAAAATTTACAAATGTTGCAATTGCTAAAGAATATCCTAAATTATAATTAATTTCTTTTTCAAAAATATTTTTATTTTTTATATTATAAATTAATAATTCAAAAAAATTTGCATATAAAATAATTTTTTTATTTGAAAATTTTTTTCAATTTACATATGTTTTTGATTTAAATTCTGGAATAATATTTTTAATTTTAAAATTATTTTCTTTTAAAAAAATCATTATTTTTTTAAAATATTTTTTTTTAAAAAAATTTAATATTTTTTTTTCAATTTCGGTTTTTTGTTTTATCTTTTGAGATGAAAAATTAATTAAATAAAATATAAGAAAATATTTTATACAATTATTAATATTTGTATTTATGTTTTCATTTATTAAATCTAAAAATATAAAAAAATATAATGTTAAAAATTTTATTTCTTTTTCAAAAAAAAATAATTTAAAAATATTTTTTTTTAAAAAAAAATAATAATAAAAAAATGAATAATTCATTTCATTTTTAAATTGTATTGATAAATCATAAACTATATTTTTTATTAATTTTTTATATTGTTTTATTTTATTCATTATTTATAATTATTATAAAAAAAATTGATATAAAATTAATATAAATTATGAATAATAAAAATTTAAAAGAAAATAAATTATTTTTAACAAAAGAAAATGTTAAAGAATTAAAAGATGAATTAAAAGATCTTAAAGAAGTAAAACGTCCAAATATAATTAAAGAAGTTAAAACTGCAAGAGAACAAGGTGATTTATCTGAAAATGCTGAATATGATGCAGCTAAAGAAAAACAAGCAATAATTGAAAAAAGAATTGTTGAATTAAATGAAGTTCTTGAAAATTACAAATTAGTAAAAGAAAAAAATGATAATTTAATTAGAATTGGTAGTATTGTTGAATTTAAAATTTTAGATACAAATAAAATTATGAAAGTAAAAATTGGAACAAGTTTTGATGTTGATATTGAAAATAATGTTATTTCAAATGTATCAATTTTAGGTAGTTCAATTTTAAATAAACGAAAAGGTGATACAATTTTTATAAAAAATCCAATAAATCCATATAGAATTGAAATTTTGGATATTAAATAATTTTATAAAAAAATAATTTATTATGAAATTTTTTGGAATTCTGAATTTTTTTATTTTTTTGTTACTTATTATTTTTACTTTTTATTATTTTAAATTTGATTTAGATAATTATATAGATAAAAATGAAGTTTTAAAAACATATAAATTAATAGATACAAGTAATAATAAATATTATTTAAAAATTAAAGATAATATTTGAAAAAAAGTTAATGATTGATTTGAAGACAAAAAGAAAAATTTACCAAATGGAAAAATTAAAAATGAGTATGCTTTATTAGTATTATGAAATGAAGATGATACTTTTGATATTATTGAAAGTACAAAAGGACTAGAAAATAAAGTTAATCCTGGAATAATTATTAAAAAGTTTTTTGAATTATTGAATAATTCAAAATTTAAAAAAAAAATAAATGGTTTTTTTTTAGTTCATAATCATCCAAGCATTGATAAAAAAATTACATTTATAAAAGATGGTTATACTCATACAATTAAATTTGATTCAAAATTAGGTGCAAGTAAATCAGATTTTAAAGTTTATAAAGATTTAGAAAAATATTTTAATAAAAAACATAAGAAAATTTATTTTGATAGTTTTATTTATAAAAATGATGATGAAAAAATAGGATTATATTCTACAAGATTTAATCAAATATTTTTTGAATTAAAAAAAGTAATAGAATCAAAAAATGACGAAACAGATCAATCAATTACTCCATCAATTACTGAAGTAAACAATGATTTTGAAGAAAATAGTGAAGAAAAAATATTGGAAGATTTTTTCAATAAAATAAAAAATATTGATTTAAATAAAAAATTAGGACCATTAAATATTTTTGATCATTTATATAAAAAATAAATTAAAAATATTTAATTTAACATATTTTTTATATTTTAAATATGTTAAATTTATTATTTTAAAACTTAAATAATTGAATTTTAATATTTTAATACTTATAATTCATTTTTAATTAAAAATGAATTAAATTTATTAAATTCTATAAAAAATAATAAAAATAGGGTATTTATAATATTTTAAAAATATTTTTTATTTTTAAAAAAAATTATAAATAAATATTATATGAAATTAATAATATATTAATAATTATATTAATTTAATATATATGTATTTTTTTACTTTTAATATTAGATTTTTTTGTTGTTTACAATATTATTTACAAAGTTGTTGACAAAGTTGTTGACAAATTTATTTTTATGATTTATAATTTAAGTATGAAAATTAATTTATTTTTTTTAAATGGTGAAAAAATTTGGATTAATGAAAAAAAAATTCAAAGAGAAGTAAAAATATTTAATAAAAAAATTAAAGAAGATTTACAAAGTAATTTTGATAATAAAAAAAATCATGAAAAAAATATAATCAACAAAATTGTTTTGTTGTTAAAAGATATAGGATATGATCTAAATTCAAGAGAAGTAAAAAATATTATTAATAAAAAAAACCCAAGTAATAAAATGGAAAATATAATAAATAATTTATATGATGTTTTAAATATATTTTTAACAAAAAACAAACCTATTCATCGTGGTAATTTTTTAATGTTATTTCAAATGTTGGATAATGATGAAAATAATTTTGAAAATAAAATTTTTAGAACAACAAATGAAATAGTTTTGTTTGATAAAAATAATTTTATAAAAATACAAGATTTTAACAAAATAAATACAAATCTTGATCAATTTATTGAATTTATAAATGAATCTAAAGAAAGTGGTATTTCACCATTAATTAGTATGCATATTGTTAATATTCATAGTTTATTAATTTCACCATTTAATAAATATAATTTATTACTAAGTAAAATAATTGCAATGTGATATTTAAATATTTTTGAAAATGATTTATTTAAAAAAATACCATCTGATTTATATTTAGATGTAATTCAAAAAAATAATAGAAAATATAAAGAAAAAATAAAATCATCTTTTAAAGATAGAGATTATACAGATTTTGTATCATTTTTAATCAATAAAATGAATGATTATTTAGATATTTATAATTTAAATAAAAAAATAATTTCAATTTTAAAATATAGATTTAAAAAATTTCTTGCAAATCATGAAAAAAAATTTTTATTTATGATTTTACTAAATAATTTAGATGAATTTGATTGAAAACTATATAAAAAATTATCACAATGAAAAGCATCTAAACAATATATAATACATAATTTAACTAAACTTGAAAAACAATATAACTTATTAAAATCAAAAAAATTTAAGAATAGAAAGTTTTTTTATATTTCACAACATTTAAAAAATATTATTAAAGAAATAAGTGAAACAAAAACATTAGGAGAAGGAATTTATTAATGAAAATAAAAAAAGACAAAATAGAAAAAGAGAAAAAAAAAGATAAAATTTCAAAAATAAATATTGAATTAGAGATTTTAAAAAAAGATAAAAAAAGATTATTAGCTGAAATAGCTAATAAACAAGAACAATGAAAGAATGAAAAACTTGAAATTTATAAATATTCTAATCAAGATTTAATTGAAGATTTAATTGAAATTTTAAATATTTTTGAAATTTCTTTAAGTTGTAAAGTTAAAGAAAAAGAAACAAAAAATTTTTTAAAAGGAGTTGAAATAACACAGATGTTGTTAGAAAAAAAACTAGAACAATATGGATTAAAAAAAATTATTATTAATGTAGGTGATTCTTTTGATGAAAAAAATCATGAAGTTGTAGAAACTAAATGAAACAAAGAATTAAAAGAAAATACAATTTTAGAAATCAAACAATCTGGTTATAAATTACATGATAGAATTTTGCAACCAGTAAAAATTATTTTAAATAAAAAAACAATTGAAAAAAAGGAGATTAAAAAATAAAATGAGTAAAATTATTGGAATAGATTTAGGTACTACAAATTCATGTGTAGCAATTATTGAAGGGAAAAATGCAAAAATTATTGAAAACCCTGATGGTGCTAGAACAACACCATCTGTAGTTTCAATAGATAAAGATGGCAATTTTATTGTTGGTATTCGTGCAAAAAGACAATCAATTACAAATCCCAATACTGTTTCTTCAATAAAAAGATTAATGGGTACAACAACAAAAACAAAATTAAATGGTAAAGAATATACTGCAGAACAAATTTCAGCAGAGATTCTTCGTTATTTAAAAGAATTTTCTCAAAGAAAAATAGGTCAAAAAATAACTAAAGCAGTAATTACTGTGCCTGCTTATTTTAACAGTACACAAAGACAAGCTACAAAAAATGCTGGTAAAATTGCTGGTTTAGAAGTTTTAAGAGTTATAAATGAACCAACTGCTGCTGCATTATCATATGGAATTGATAAAGATAAAAAAGAACATAAAGTTCTTGTTTTTGATCTTGGAGGTGGTACATTTGATGTTTCATTATTAGAAATTGATAATGGAACATTTGAAGTTATTGCAACAAATGGATTAAATGATTTAGGTGGTGATGATTTTGATCAAAAAATTATTAATTATTTAATTGAAGAATTTAAAAAAGAAAATGGTATTGATTTATCAAAAGATAAAATGGTTATGCAACGTCTTAAAGATGCTGCTGAAAAAGCAAAAATTGAATTGTCAGGTTCATTAGAAACTACAATTTCATTACCATTTATTACACAAAGTAATATGGGTCCATTACATCTTGAAATAAAATTAACACGTGCTAAATTTGAAGAAATAACTGAAGATTTAGTTAATAAAACACTTGGGCCATTACATCAAGTTATAAAAGATAGTAAAGTTGATATTAAAGAAATAACTGAAATATTAATGGTTGGTGGTTCAACAAAAATGCCTATGATTTCAAAACTTATTGAAAGAGAATTAAATAGAAAAGTTTCATTTTCAATTAATCCAGATGAAGCTGTTGCAATGGGTGCAGCAATTCAAGCAGGTGTTTTACAAGGTGATATGAAAGATATTTTGTTATTAGATGTAATTTCATTATCATTAGGTATTGAAACAATGGGTGGTGTAATGACTACTTTAATTACAAAAAATACAACAGTTCCTACATCAAAATCACAAGTATTTTCAACTGCAAGTGATAATCAACCAAGTGTAGACATTCATGTTTTACAAGGTGAAAGAAAATTTGCAAATGATAATAAAACATTAGGAAGATTTCAACTTTCAGATATCGAACCTGCTCCACGTGGTATACCACAAATTGAAGTTACATTTGATATTGATGAAAATCAAATTTTATCTGTTAAAGCAAAAGATTTAAAAACAAAGAAAGAACAATCAATTGTAATTAGAGATGCTGGTTCATTAAGTAAAGAAGAAATTGATAGAATGGTAAGAGAATCTGAAGAAAATGCAAAAAAAGATGAAGAAAAATTACGTGCTGTTACTTTAACAAATAGAGCAGATTCTGCAATTTATCAAATGAAAAAATCTTTAGATTCTGAAACTAAAGATTTAAATGAAAAACAAAAAGAACAAGCAGAAAAAGGTAAAGAAGAAATTAAACAAAAAAAAGAAAAAATAGAAAATCTTTTAAAAGAAAAAGATTGAGATAATCTTGAAAAAGAATTAAATGATTGAGATAATAAAATGAGACAAGCACACCAATATGCTCAATCACAACAAAAAACATCTGAAAAATCAAGTGATAATAATACAAATAATAAAGATGCAGAAGATGTTAAAACAAAATAAAGTTTAAAATAAATGAGTAGTTCTAAAAATAAAAGAGATTATTATGAGATTCTTGGCATTCAAAAGAATGCCACAGAATCTGAAATTAAAAAAGCATATCGTAAATTAGCTAAAAAATATCATCCAGATGTTTCAAAAGAAGCAAATGCTTCTGAAAAATTTAAAGAAGTAAATGAAGCTTATCAAGTTCTTTCTGATTCACAAAAAAGAAAAAACTATGATCAATTTGGTCATAAAGGTACAGACTTTGGTTCAAGTGGTGGATTTAGTGGTTTTGATTTTAGTGGTTTTCAAGATTTTGGTAGTTTTGATTTTTCAGATTTTTTTAGTGGATTTGGTGGAAAACGAACAAGAAAAAGACAAAACACAAATTTAGATCTTTTGTACAAAATGAAACTTTCGTTTTTTCAATCAATGGAAGGTTTGAAAAAAACTTTACAATTTGATTTAGAAAATATTTGTAATGATTGTAATGGTACTGGTGCATATTCTAGTTATGATGTTAAAAAATGTGATGAATGTAACGGAAATGGTTATACAACAAATACAGGTAATAATATATTTGATATGTTATTTAATCAAAAAGCAGAATGTGAAAAATGCTTTGGTGAAGGTCAAATAATAATAAGAAAATGTAAAACATGTAATGGTTTAAAAATTATTAAAAAAACAGAAGAAATTGAAATTGTTATTCCAAAAGGTGTAAATACAGGACAAAGAATTGTTATTGAAAATAAAGGTAAAATTAATTGAAAAAACAAAAAAAGAGGTAATTTATATATTGAATTTAATGTAGAAATGCATCCTATTTTTGAAAGAATTGATGATTTTGATTTATTATCTGTTGTACCTATTTCATATCTTGATGCATTATTAGGAGCAGATATTTTATTACCAACAATTGATGGTGAAAAAACAGTTGAAATAAGTCCATATACAAAAGATGGAAAAGTTATAAGATTAAAAGGTTATGGTGCATATGATCCAAATAATCAAAGAAAAAGAGGTGACCATTATTTTAAATTAAAAATAAAATATCCTGAAAAATTAAGTAAAGATGAAATTTTAAAATTAAAAGAAATTTTAAGAATTTCAAAAGATAAAGTAAATAAAGATTTTATAATTAATTTAAAGAAAAAAGGTTATATTAAATAATTTAAATAAATAATAATTTTTCCAAAACCCTTAAAAAATTTAAGGGTTTTTTATTTAATTAAAGTAATTTTAAAATTTTTAATTATTTTTTCATTAATATTATCTTTATTTATTATTGTTAATTTAATAATTTTGAAATTATTAAAATATTCAAATACTAATTTTAAATTAAATTTAAATAATTTTTCACTTATTATTTTTATTATTTCTTTTTGAAATAATTCAAAATCAAATTTAAAATTACTTTCTTTGTATAAATTTATATTTTCATTAATTTTGTCTAATATAATTGTGTTTTTTAATATTTTTGTATTTGAAAAAATATTTTTAGATATTTCAATAAATGAATTTTCATTATTTATATTGTTTTCTTTTGAATTTTTTTTATTAATATCTATTTTTTTGACTATTTTTTCATTATTTATATTTTTATTTAAATCATTTGATTTTAAAATAATATTTCAAATAATACCAAAAATACTTGAAAAAAATAAAATTAATATAAAAATTATAAAAAAAACATTAATTATTGTATTTCTTTTGATCATTTTTATGTTTTTTTTAATTCTAAATAATATTTATTAAAATTTTTATAATTATTATTTTTTAATTTATATAAAATTTCATTTGGAATAAAAAAAATATTTTCAAAAATTTTTGTTGTTTCATTAAAATTAAAATCAGTTTTTATTTTAATTTTTTTATTAAATGTATTATTTTTAAATAAAGATTTTTGTTTTAATTTTAAGTTTAAATCTATAAAGTTAAATTTAAAATTAAGACTAGCATTAAAAAAATTTTCTAAATTATTTTTTTTAAAATTTATTTTCTGATTTAAAGAATCATTATTAATTTTTAAAATATAATCAAATTTTAAAAATGGTATATTAATATTTTTTATATTTAATATATATTTTTCTATTTTTTCATTTAATTTTAATAAATTTAATTTACTTTTTTCTTTTTTTAATAAAGAAATTATTTCTAAATTTATATCAGGATCTATATTTAAACTTAAATTATTTTTAAATTTTCTTATTTCATTTCAAATTAAATTAAAGTCAAAATAAATAATAAAATTTAAAAAATTTTCATTATTTATTGAAAAATTTAAATATGTTAAATTTATTAATTTATCTAAAAAAATATTATCTATATATTCTTCTTTAATTAGTGACTTTATAGCTAATTCTTCAGAAAAAATTTCTTTAATTAATGTTGTTTTTTGATTAAAATATGTTTTTATAAAATAAAAATAGGGGTTTTTTAAATTTATATTTTTTATTAAATTAAAATTTTTTTTTATATTTTTTGGAATAAAAAATCTTATTCTTAAAGTTCCGCCATTTTTTTCTATTAATTTATTTAAATTATTTGTTGGATATCATCAAATTTTAATTTCATTTCAATCATTTTTTAAAAAACAACTTTTTTTAAATAATAATCCATCTTTTTTATTTACTAATGCTTTTTTTGTGTTTGAAGAAGTTATACTTCTATAATTTTTTTTATCACTATCTATTTTTCAACATCCATCTTTTTTAAAATTATTATTTATATTAAATCCCCATGCTAAATTTCAATTTTCTCTTTTTTGAAATAATTGATTTGCTGTTAAATTATTATTTAAAGATTTTATTTGATATCCAATAAATAATTTTATTAATTCTTCTCCTTCAATATTAAAATATGGAAAAAAAGATAGTCCAACATATGGTTCAATAATTATTTTTCTTGATTCATTTTCTTCATAATTTCAATTAAAATTAGTTGCACCACTTCAATTTGCATCTATTTTAATTTCATTTTTTGTATTTAATATTGTTTCAATAGAAGTGAACATATTCAAAAAAATATTAGTATTTTTTAGTTTATTTTTCTTTTAAAAATAAAAAAATTATAAAATATATTTATGAATATTGAAGATATTAAAAGATTAAAATATGAAGTTGAATTTTATAAACAACAAATAAAAGAACATCAAAATGAAATTAAAAAATTAGATAAAAATTTTATACATGATATTCAACTACATATAAGACAAATAGATTATTATAAAACAAATATAAAAGATTGCATTTTTCTTATAAATGTAATTAAAAAACAATTAAAATTAAAAGATTAAATTTTTAATAATATTTTTTATTTCAATTCTTTTTTGATTAGTTGTTTCTCTATTTCGAATTGTTATACAATTATCTTTTTCAGTATCAAAATCAATAGTAATACAATACTTTGTTCCTATTGCATCATGATATAAATATCTTTTACCAACACTTTTTTTTGTATGTAAAACAATACGTAAATTTGTATTTTTTTTTAAAATTTGAAATATTTCTTTTGCTTTAACATTTAATTTTTCAGTTAGTGGTAATATAGCTACATTATAATAACAAAATTTAGAATCTAAATTTAAAACTAATCTTTCTTTATCTAAATTTTTTTCTAAAATTAATTTTTCAAATAACATTGCTAACATTAATCTTTCAACACCAAAAGATGGTTCAATAACAAATGGAATAACTCTTTTACCATTTGAATTATATAATTCAATACTTTTTTTTGAATGGATTTTATGATTTGTTAAATCATATTGTCCTCTATGTGCTAAACCAATTATTTCTTGTCAACCAAATGGGAATTTATATTCAAAATCAGATGTAACTTTTGAATAATGTGCTATTCCAGTTGTTTGTCTATTTTCTCTAAAATTATTTTTACTTAAATTTAATTTATTTTCTAAAAAATAATTTATTTCTTTTACATATTTTTCAAATCAAAACATTGTATCTTCAGGTTTTTTATCTTCACAAAAAAATTCAATTTCCATTTGTTCAAATTCAGTAGTTCTAAAAATTGATTTTTCAGTTGTTATTTCATTTCTAAAAGATTTACCAATTTGTGCTAAACCAAATGGAATTTTTAATTTTAAAGATCTTGCAATTTGTGTTGCATTAATAAATATACCTTGTGCTGTTTCTGGTCTTAAATAAACAAATTGTTGTTTATCAAAAGAATTACCTTTTTCAGATTTAAATAAAAGATTAAAAGATTTAAAAATATATCATTTTATTTTATTTAAACAATTAAAACATTTAATAAAAGATTCAATAATTTGATTTTTATTATTAAATTTACAAAATGTTTCATTTTTATTTAATGTATTTTCTTTTTTACAATTAAAACAAATTATTTTTTTACAATTACAAAATAATTCTAGATTTTTTAATGATTTTAAATTTTTAATTTCTTCATTTGAAAATTCTTTTGTTTTATGACAAAATTCACATCTTGAAATATATTGTCCTTGAAATGTTTTTAAATGTCCACTAGCAAATAAAACTTTTTCATTTGTTATAATCCCTGAATCCATTCCATGAATCAATTCATTTTTTTTAACAAAAAAATTTCATCATATATTTTTAATTTCTTTTTTTATAAACATACCTAATGGTCCAAAATCATATGTTGATGATAAACCACCATAAATTTCAGAATGTGGAATTATAAATCCATATTTTTTTGAGTAATTATTAAACTCATCTAAAGTTAATTTTCTATTTTGTATTTTCATAAAATTATTATATTTTCTTTTATATTTTTTTTGAATTCTTTAAAAAATATAAAAGATATAATTAA